ATGGGATACAGGCGGATGTTGGCTTGCTGGTGGGGGCGGAGGGAAGGGGTGTGGCACTTCTATATACAGCACTGGGAGCAAACCACTCCCAGTGCTGACTTTGTTTTGGCCGGGAAATAAATTACCGTGCTTTCACCACGTTCCTGCGTTCCTGTCATCTTTGTCTCTTCGGGACGCCAACGGACGGAGAGTGTCACCCATATGAGTGTGATTTATGATATCTTTGGTTGGTTTCCCCCCCAAAAACACTCCTAGGAATACATTGATTTGATTAACCACCGCCACATTTGGTTAACAACCACTTTATTCACTTAACAACTGTGGCATTAACTTAATCACTGCCATAAAAAAAGTCATAAAATTGAGTCTGATCACATGAGTGCTTGACTTACAACATCATGACTTCTGGGCTCCATTATGGTTGTAAGTCAAGGACCACCTGTGGTAGATGTCTACCACTAAACCAATGTAATATACATTTCTTATATATTTTATAAAACAAGACTATTTGTTTACTTTATTAGAATCAGAGAATCACAGTGCTAGAAAGAGGCTATTTATGCTATCCAGTCCAATTCCCTCCTCGTTGCAGAAATCCAAATTCAACCAAATAAGGTAACCATGGAAGATACATTCTGGCAAAATATCAAGCTCATCTTGTTTGGCCACCAGATCACACATTCTTACCGTAGACACCTTTGTCCAGGAGCAGCAAGAATTCATCCACTGCATTCCGCATCTCAGGCTCGGTCAGATCCAGCAAGGAGACCACTTTAAAGTCCATCTGCCTCAGCAAGTTGGTCAGCTCATAAACATCCACTAACGGAGCCTTGAGCCTGGGATGGTTATAGTAGCTCATGTTTCCCATCAGTAGTGCTACCTTATCTACTGCTACAAAGGCAGAAAACAAAGCATGTTTCTAAATAGCTTTTCCATAGTATGCATGCAAGGAAATTACATGCATGATAATTCGTAGGCAGACTTCATAGTATCTTATACATAAGTAACTCCCCATAAAAATATGTAATGAAGCATACTTAGGGAGAAGGAGGCAAAGCATGTTAATATCAACTACAGAAATAGGGGCAAACATTAATCCAAGATTTGATTCAACTTCAGGTTCACTTCCTGCCTTGTTTTAACAGAATAACAGAGTTGGAAGGGATCTTGGAGGTCTTCTACTCTAACCCCATAAAAATGGTTGTCTAAATCTCTTCTTAAAAACCTGCAGTGTTGGAGCACCCACAACTTCTGGAGGCAACTCATTCCACTGATTAATTGTTCTAACTGTCAGGAAATTTCTCCTTAGTTCTAGTTTGGTTCTCTCCTTGATTATTTCCCATATACTGCTTCTTGTTCTGCCTTCAGGTGCTTTGGAGAATAGGTTGACTCCCTCTTCTTTATGGCAATGCCTTAGATATTGGAACATTGCTATCATGTCACCTTTTCATTTCTTTTCTTCTT